AAAAAATGGAAATAAAGTCTTTGTAAATAGGGAAGGGTGGAGGGCGTGAAGGGAGGGCTAGGAATGGGGAAAAAATAAGAACCAAGGTGCATTATGTAAAGGTACAATTCCCAATGAGAAATGTAATTGTGCTGTATACCTACAATGTACCAACAAAAGAATTTAATACAAAAAAAAAAACAAGATGAAGTCTAAAATTTATATTACAGTAATAACATTTCAAAAGGTGGTTATGAGGATTATGTGAGAAGACTACAGTGCTTACCAGAGGGCTGGGCATTTAATTGATACACTTTATTAATAAAAAATTAAATTTTAGGGGTGGGGGATTTAGCTCAGTGGCTTCCATGCCTAACTTGCAAGTGCAAGGTCCTGAGTTCAATCCCTGCTACCAAAAAAAAAAAAAGAATTAAATTTTAAAAGGCAATGAGCCAGTCGTGGTGGTATATACCTGTAACCCTAGTATTTGAGGTACTAGGCTGAGGTAGGAGGATCGCTTCAAGTTTGAGTCTAGCCTGGACTACATAGCGAATTTAAGGCCAGCCTGAACTGCATAGCGATATCGTGTTTTAAAACTTCAAAAATAATAAATAAATATAATAAAAAAGAAATTAAATGGTTACAGAATTCAGTGTTCATTTTCCCAGGGTATTGGTAGGGATGACATCAAGGAAGAGTAGTCATGCGTTTCAAAGGTACTCTTAATTTTATTTCTTATGCATGATAGGGGATACACAAGTGTTAGCTTAATATTCTCTAAGTTGTACATATACATTAGGTACATTCCTTTGTATAAAGGGTAATTTTCAAATTTTTGAATAGTAAAATAAAAATTCAAAATTCTATAGCCTACAAGGTCCTATGTCTCTTAAGTGCCTCTGCTTCATTGCTTTAACTCTTGACAGTCTCCCACTATGTCACTTGTCTATCCTCAATGTCTGAATACTTCTTCTGGAACGTGCCCGAGTGACTGTATTTGCTTTTCCTCCCATCTAGAGTGCTCTTCCCTAGGTGTCTACCTAGCTTCCCCTCTCATTTAATTCAGGACTTCCTCAAACACTGCCTTACAGAACAATAGTCCCTAATAAACCTACAGCCTGTTGCTCACTTATTTATACTGTTCCATCCTCTCCAATTATAATATTTGTTAGGGTCAACACCATCCTTCATAAGAAAGTCTTTAGTAGGAGAGTGTCAATCAAGTTCACGATGAAGGACACAAGTTTTCCAAAATTGTAATTTTCACCTTAAAGCTCAAATTTTAACATTTGCAAAAAGTACCATTGAGTGTGGCTGGCACACCCTATAATACTAACCCCAAGACAGGCTGAGGCAGGAGGATTTCAAGTTCAAGGCCAATCCTGTGCTACTTAGGAGGACAAGGACCTGTCTCAAAAGATAAAAAGAGCTGGGGGTGTAGCTCAGTGGTAGTTATGTCTCTGGGTTCAATCTCCAATACTGAAAACAAACCAACAAGTTGTTTTCCTTAAACTGGCAGGCTCACTTCATTAGTTTTGAGAAAATGTTAAATACACAAGTGTGAATAACCATAGCTTGTCCACCAGTGTTCTTTCAAGTAAAAAAAGGTATTCAATTAAAAAGTGACAGTTCATAAACTAAAATCAAAGTGGATTAAAGCTCTAAATATTAAAACAGAAACACTAAACTTACTGGAAGATAAATTAGGTAGAACTCTTAAAGACACTGGCATAGGAAAAGACTTTATGAACAAATCCTCAGTAGCACAGGAACTTGCATGAAGAATGAACAACTTGGATCTCATCATATTAAAAAGCTTCTGCACTACAAGAGAAACCACCAACAGAGCTAAGAGACAACCTACAATGTGGGAAAAAATTTTTACCAACTGTTCTTCAGACAAAGGTCTACTATCTAGAATCTATAGAGAACTCAAAAAAATCAGACCCCCCCCAAATATAAAGACCTAATTCAAAAATGGGCATCTGAAATGAATAGACATTTCTCAGACAAAGAAGTAAAAGCAGCAAATAAACATATGAAAAAATGTTCAACATCACTGGTCATTCAAG